TTCGACAGACTCAGTAGAGACTTCTAGAACAGGCTTTCTAGGCCTATTGGTAACAGACCTAGCTGCTAATCTACAGACCTAGGGATCAAGTCCTATTGACCAAACTACAGACTAACCTAAGACCAAACTACAGACTAACCTACGTCGTAGGACAGGTTTGGGGATCGAATCCTACTCAGGTCACGGGGTCTATATACAGGTACAGGGTAGGTCTAGGGATAGAATCTCACTCAGCACACAGGGTCAATGTACAGGGTTAGGGCACAGGTCTAGGGATCGAATCTCTGTGACTGCAGTACAAGGTCACATGGGTGAAACCGTTTCACTCCCGCCATCCTAAATTCGAGGTCCTCCGAGAACCCTCTAACTCAAGGCAGGACCTTTACCTTTTCTTTCCCTCTCGTAGGCGTGTACTATGTCGGGAGCAGTTTTTAAAAGCTCTGTTCCTGTAAACCACCGGTTGTCCTCGGGTTCCTGGTATGCGAACCTAACTTTGCACTGTTTCTGGGGACGACCTCGGCCTCCTGTCCTAAACACGTCCTCTTCCACAATGCCCTCTATATCATACGCACCATCCATGTCTGGAGGAATCATCGACCTTCTGGAAGGGAACCTGTCAGACGTGGTGCAAGGTAACAACTTAGAGGCGTGGAAGACTGGGTACGTGTGGAGGTGTGTTGGGATCTCTATCGTATACGACGGGTCGTCCTCTCCTCCTTTGACTTCTAGGACAGGCCACGGTCCTCTATATGCAGGTGAGAGCTTCTGCGAGATGTTTTCCTCCGGTGCGAACTCCTTTGACTTGACCCAGACTAGGTTACCTACCTGAAACTGTGAAGGTCGGCGGTGCTTGTTAGCCTACTCTATCATGCGTTGTTGGGCCTTCCTCAGGTTGTCTATGACCTTAGCAACCTCTTGCTCATGATGGAGTGCTAACTCTCGAGTACCGGGTGGAAGTCTCTGGATCTGATCCCGGTTTAGTCCTTGTAGTGGTCGCCTAGGTTTAAAAGACTTGTGTAGCTCATTAGGAGTCCGACAAGTAGCTAAGTGAACGCTGTTGTTGTAGGCGCTTGCTACTTTGGGGAGCAACTCGTCCCAATCTAGCTGATCTGGACTAATGTACATTCTGAGTAGCTGTTGCAAGATCTTATTCATCTGTTCTGTCTAACCGTTAGTCTCGAGGTGTCGTCCTGACGACATCAACAACTTAGACCCATATACTTTCATAAGATCTTGCCAGTGCTGGCTGGTAAACCGGGTGTCCCTATCACTTACTATGGACAATGGCATACCATTCTCGCTTACCCAGAAATCAAAGAACGTCCTTATAACTAACTTTGTACGGGCCTCTGAAGGCAAGGGAACAAATACTGCAGACTTACTTTATCTGTCTACTATGACCATGACTTGAGTTTTTCCATGTCTGTTTCTGACTCCAGTATCCATGAAGTCAATGGACACTGAATCTCCGGGTCCGGAGGGAATAGGCAAGGGTCTAAGAAGACCCAGGTGGGCTCTAGTCGTAGCTTTATTATGTTGACACACTTTGCAACTGCGCACATATTCTATGCAGTCTGCTTTCATGCCTGGCCACGTATAGGACATCATCAGGTTAGCTAAAGTCTTCTGCCATCCAAAGTGCCCTTCTTTATCGTGGCATTCCCCTAAGATCAAACTACGGATATCTTATCTATTGGGGACGCATAGCCTGTTAGCGACATTAGTATTTTCAAACAGTAGCCCATTCGTGGTCCGGTAGTGTGGCTCACTATCTGGGGCTTCCCTTACTCTTTTGAGCAGCAGAGCAGCTCACAGTAGATTGGGTCCTGTGCATAGGCATCTCTTACTTTCTGCTGCAGATCGGCCCCTATGTCTAGATAGTGTACTATCGCACCGAAATAATCAGATCTCCTGCTTAGCGCATCAGCTACCACGTTGTACTTGCCTTTAACGGGTTTTAACTCAAAGTCATACTGGCCTATCTCAGCAGCCCATTTGGTCAACTTGGGCATCATCTTGGCCCGTGTCTTTAGCCATCTAAGAGTCTCGTCGTCTGAATAAACCTTGAAGTGTCTCCCAAGCAGGTAGTGTTTCCAGTGCTCTAGAGCCTGCCTGAGAGCGTAGAGTTCCCTCTTGTATGTCGATGCGGCGACTTTCTCTGAAGGCAGCCTGGCTGACATGAACTCTACGGGCCTATACCTGTTGCCGTCATCTTGCTGTAGAACGACACCTATGCCATACTGACTCGCGTTTGTAGTAACAACAAATGGCAATGATGGATCGGCAACTTTGAGAACAGGGTACTCAATCAAAGCCTTCTTCAATTTCTTGAAGGCTGACGTACAATAAGGCTGACGTACAATCTTGATCCCACTTCCAGATAGCTTCTTTCTTCAATAGTCTACGAAGGGGAGCAGCGATCGTAGAGAAGTTCCTCATGAACTTCCTGTAGTAGTTAGCTAGTCCTAAGAAAGAACGCAACTCTGTTAGTGTCTTAGGAATTGGACAATCTCTGATGGATGCTATCTTGCTGTCCTCAGGCCAAATGCCATCGCCGTCTAGTACATGGCCTAGGTAAAGGACCTGTGTCTTGGCCCATTCGCACTTCTTTGGGTTAATCTTAAAGTTAGACTCTCTGAGCTTACTTAGAATTTGTCGTAGATGGCCCTCATGTTCCTCGAGGGTCTTGCTGAACACTAGAATATCGTCTAGATAAAATACGATGAACCTATCTAGCCAAGGTCTAAACAAGTCGTTCATACAGCGCTGAAATGTTGCGGGTGCATTAGTAAGTCCAAATGGCATCACTATGAACTCGTAATGCCCATACCTTGTCCTGAACGCCGTCTTATACTGATCGTCAGGGTGAGCCTCTATCTGATGGTACCCTGATTTTAGATATATCTTCGAGAAATATCTGCACCCCCGAACTCGATCTAGCAAATCATCTATACGCGTTAATGGCTCTGCATTCTTAATCGTGATGGCGTTCAGTCCCCTGTAGTCAATACACATGCGCAACTCTCCCTCCTTCTTTGGGACAAACAAAACAGGTGCACCGAACGGCGATGAACTAGGCCGGATCCATCCTTTTTCTAGGAGCTCATCTAACTGTCTGCGTAGCTCCTCTAACTCTTTGGGAGACATCCTGTAGAATGCCCCCTTTGGCGTTCTACTGCCAGGTTTTATTTCTATTCGGTGCTGGATCGGTTTGGGCACTACCCTTGAAGGTGGTTCGTATAGATCCTTATATTCTTCCAGCAGATTGGCAATAGCAGGATGGATCTTTTCTTCCTCCTTAGGCTGATCAGACACTGGCCTAACATAGGCCACGAACACCTGCTCTTCAAGCTGCTCCTTTCGCACAAGCCTGGCGAATGCAGGAGCGTTGAGGCAGCAATGGGCAAGGGGATTATCTACCCCGGACTCATGGAACAGGCGGACTTTCTTGACTTCGCCTCACGCACTAGGGAGCGTACACTCATGCTCTCTGAGGTGAAGTGTGGCTCTTGCTGCCTCTCCCCAATCTGTGCCTAAAACTATGTCAAACGGGAGACTCTCTTCTACAAGGAGGGTCAGGGAGTGCAGTACCTTCTCTACCTTGCCATCTTTCTTCAGGTGAAAGTAGGCGTGAACCCCCTCAACATACTCTTCGATGCACATCCTACTATTGTCTGCGAGGATGCTGACCACAGCCTCTTCTAGTCGTTGGACCTTCAGGTTCAACTTCAACTTCCTCAGTGCTTTACGACTAATATAGCTCCTAGTCGCCCCGCTGTCTATGAGGGCTCCTACTCTAGCTCTAAATATATCTACATCTGCGAGGATTAGTTGTCCTTTACTATCCTTCTTCATCTTGGCCCAGACTTGCCTTCTCTCTCTCAGTTCATCGGCTAAGCCTGTGAGGGAAGCGCCTAAGGAGACCCTAACACAAGCGATCTCTGGACAACTTACTAGATGCTGGCCAGCAACCTCTGCCATGGAAATATGTGGAGTGGGAGACTCTACTTCGCTGGCACGCTCAGATCCATATACTCCTGAGGTAGGGGCAGTTGCAACCCCTACCGGCGACTGTCTCTTGCTGCCCCAGATGCAGCACGGTCCCTATACTTAGGACAAAATTTGATAATGTGGCCCGGGTCCCCGCAGAATACGCATTGAGAACTATTAATGCATTTTTGCCATACCCTTTGATCTATACCCAGGTCTAACCAAGGTCGGCCTTCAGGCCGGCCTGGATGCCACCTTCCTTGTCTGGGAGGTGACCGACTAGAACTCGGACGGTTAGAYGGGGGACCTCCCCTTCCTCCYGSTTGGCKGTTGCCATAGCCGCCAACCCCCTGGCCACCCTGCCCTCGGCCACCCTGGGCCCGACCACTTGGGCCGGACCGTTGTCCTCCTTGCGGCCTCCCTCCAGCCGCGCCAGCAGCGTAGGTTCTCCCCTGGCCTGCGCTGTTGTCCTCCTCTAATCCCCACTCGATGTCAGAGTAGGGAACCTCCTCTGCACCACCTTCCTCCATCGTTAAGATCAAACTATCTTTGGCCTTGATTTGGCCTGAGCTGGTGCGTCCCTTCCACGTTTTTCCCTTAGACAGATCCTTGTGCCAGAACGTGGTAACTGGCGACGCTTGGGCGGCAAATGCAACTGCCTCCCGACTAAGTGTATCGTAAGTCATGCCCTGCTGATTCTTCTTCTCGAAGAAGTGTCCCTGAATATTTTCAGGCAGGGCGGGGTAGAAGAGGTTAAGGAGTTGCACATCAGTGACTCCATGCCCAGGGACCGCAATCAGTTCGTCCATAGCGGACTTTAGCGCATGCACACTCTTCCACTGGCGAGTGTGGATCATTTGGAGTTTGTCTGAGGCCTTAAGGCCCCGCGTGACATCAGAAAATCGCTCCCTGAGGGCTTTCAGGAAGTCAGAGAGGGGTGTCAGTCCGGAGTATGTAACTATATCGTTATCGCAGTTGGCAGCGCGGGCTAGCGACCTAGCAAAGCTAGTTGCTTCGTCTCTAAGGGCCTGGAAGGCCACCAAAGTGTGGTCTTTAGGTGTGACTCCCTGCAGATACAGATAGGAGTGCACATTGGCCTCCCAGTTATCAAAATCTTCACCCTTCTTCCCATTGAAGGGTTCGGGAAATCGGACCTTGACTTTCTCGCGACATGGTGGGGCCGACTCCTCTTCCTTAGGGGCCGCTAGCTTGGCGCCTTCAATGGCGCCAGTACAAAACTCTCGGGTCCTATTAATCGCAATGTGCACTTCGGTCAGCAGGTGTTTCATCATGTCGTACGCGAAGTCCTTGAACCCCGCGTGTATCGCGTCTATCTTGATGTCTTGACTGCGTTCGTACTGCATTTGTTCCCGCTGTGTGACTAATAAAGCCTCTACACTTTGGATTAGCGTATCTAGCTTGGTTGCTAGCTCAGTCTCCGCTCGGATCTTCCCCATCCTAACTTCCGCCGCTCTTAGGTCCTTGTCCGCCCTCTCTGCTGCTTCCAATCTCCTGACCCTTTCTAGGGATAACCGGTATCTCCACGCCATCCGTTGTTCCTCCTCCTTTGCCCCTCTCTTTACTGGATCCCTCTCTGCTTCAATTTGCCTCCTGGCTGCTTCTTTTTTTTCCTCGGGTACAGCCATCTCAGCCTCCTGGTCTTCCCCTAACTTCAAATGTGCGGCCCATTCCTACGCCCTTTCCGCAATCTCCGCATCTTTACTTGTGCTTCCTCCTCCTCTTCTCCTCTCTAGCGGTCTTTCTTCTTCTTCTTCCACCTCTTCTATTTCTTCTTCTTCTTCCACCTGAATAGCTGTCATCTTCTCCTCCTGCTCCTTCTTCCATCTTTCCATCTCCTCCTCCATCTGCCTCTTCTTTGCTTCCTGCTCCTCCAGCAGCGCCAACATCTTAGCCTGTCTGATTAGTTCCCTCTTCTCCATCTTCTCTTTCTTCTCACGCAGAAGGGCGGCAACTCTCTCCTCCTGCTCTTTACTGTAGGGGATGGTAACGGTTCCGGATCTAAGGGTCACCATGTTGACAGCGCACAATTAACAACGATTCCACACCTCAACACTTAGACCGAACAGGTTACTTCTACTTCGGGGATTTGGTTCACTACTCGAACTGAACTCGCGGTTCTATGACCACACACACAGAGTCCTAACACCCTAGACAGTAGTGACAAGGAGATAGGACTGACTGTCCTTGACAGACTCTATGCCAGCAAGTACCGGGGTGAAGGTACACACTCACGGGGTAAGGGATAGGCCAGGCTTGGGAAGATAGTACCGTTTGTCTTCTTGCTCCAGCTGGAACAACGCTCCGTCAACAGACTTGGTCAACCTCGTCGGTCAACGCTCGTGGTCAATGCGCTAGGCAGCTCCAGTCAATGCTCAGTCAACGCCCTAGACAGCCCGGTCAACACTGGTCAATGCTTGGTCAACACCCGTGGTCAACCTCGGTCAACATCTGGTCAACTCTCCCGGTCAACCTTATGACCTCCCGGCTATGGTGGACCTCCTTCTCCTTCACCTCAGCTATGGCTGATCTTGTCTCCCTCTTCCTAACTGTCTTCTTCCTTTCTTCTCTCTGCGTCTCTTCGTTCTCCCTTTTGATGTTGGTCTTCTTCCCCGAACTCTTTTTTCTCCCTTTTGATGTTGCTCTTCTTTCTCACTGTCTCATGCGTGCACGTACGAGGATCACCCTGAATGTCCCCACTCAGCACAACCTCACACACTCTGAACACTTGTCTTACCCAACAGCTGGGCGACTATGGCCGTCATCGTCTTCCTCCTGCTGGCTATGGCCACCGACATCTACCCCACTGGCCGGCCATGGCGGCTGTCTTCTTCACTGCCCACTTCGTCTCCAGGCACCTGCATACCTCCATGCACAAGACACCAAGGCAGCTCTTCCGCATGGCTCACAGRCGAATGAATGAATGGCTGGACGCTGCCTGTTTATTTATACTTCTTCGGAGGTACCCGGACCCTGCCTCCAGACCTGTGGGCCTGGGCCAAAACGTGTGGCCCAGGGAAGCT